AAAAAAAAAAAAAAAAAAGAACTAAATGAAACAGACAAAAGAACTCAAAAATCAAATTAGTGAGTTGTATCCTGAGAACAACCTAGTCTAGCATTTGCCTTGACAAAGAAGTAGATTTCTGAGCTGAAATCCATCTTGTATCAGTACAGTTCAACAGTGATTAAGTATCTACTTGATGCCACAAAGGCAGTTACAAAACACAATTCCTCCCTTGAGAAGGTGGTCTAAAAGGGAGATATTAAAATGCAGTGCGATGTTCCATGCACAGAAGAACATGTAAAATATTACAGGAACACAGGCGAGGAAGCGGTTAAATCTCCTTGGTGTAAGAGGGGGGTAAGAAGTGTTAAGGATAGTTAACAAGGGGAAGTGGCATTTAAACCAAGCCTACAAGGAATGGGAATCTGCCAGATACAACAGAGAGAAGGGCATTCAGGTGAAGGAAACAGTAAGTGTATACTCAAATTTGCACAATTAGGAAGATAGAGAATCCAAACCATTGCTAAGAATGCTTCAAAGAAAGGGCTCCTCTAATAAAAATATCAAGTTTCAGAGAAGGGATATTATTTGCTCCAGAGAACTGATTTTCTGGAATCTGTGAGATGAATCAGTCTATCTTCTGTAGGCAAAATAATCTCAAATACAAGAATGATAAAGAAAATTAGCTTTATTTATGTAAATTAAAAAACTGATTGTAGTGTTAGATTTTGTCAAGTGTTTTCATTCTGAACAATTTACAAGAGTATTTATATACAAACATAATAAAATAGAGTACATCACATTGTTCTTTCTTGACTCAAAGTATTTTTTCTCAATTCTGAACATGTCCCTATCACTCCAGTTTGTAACTTTTAACAGGGAAATGCTATGTTGTGACATAGTGCTTGATTCATACATATAACACTGAAGTGGAAGGAGAGTCAATGATCATCAAGAGTTAAAAAATATTTTTTCAACCAATATGACTCTATCATTAGGTTTTTTTCTATATTAAAATATGTTTCATAAAAAAACATACTTGCATTTGTTGATGATCTAAATTTGTTGTTTTACATAAACCCATAGTTGACCTAAATATAGATGTGAATCTATATTAAACTCATTGATATGAATGTCTGTCATAAATGAAAATGAACAAAATTGTCAGGAAGAGAGGCAACAGAAAATCCTCTGAGAAATTAAGTGGAGATGCCCTATTCTATTAAAAATAAGTAAAATTTCCATTTCTTGAACCCAATATAAGCCAAACCAAAAGGTGATGAAAAGCCATGATATTTATAGACACCAGATCTTAAGTTACACTGTAGGGCTGTAGTTAACTTGTACTACTACATATTGTATAATTCTAAACCAAGTTTCCTAAATAGTTTTCCAATCATTTATGTTGTTTGAGAAATTCAAGAAAGTTTAATATAATTACTGAATAAGGCAGCATTTTCAATCAGCAATTGGGATACACTATAAATGCAGATAATTTATACTAGAGTCTAATCTGTATCTGTCAAAATATTAAGTATACCATAATGTGTATGGACTGTCAGAAGAAAACCATCTCATTTTTAAAGCAGTGGGCTGTTTAGTACGTTCAATTTTTTAGCACTTTCTTGAAATTCCTGGTGAGAGCTCTGTGGTTTTACTAAACTGAAAAACAGAAACAAAAAACCCACAAAAAATGTTAAGTTTGACATTACTTTGAAAAGTCACAGCTATTTAAGACAATCAACCAGACCTCCAAGTGCACTTGTGTCTAAAATGTCACTTTTGTCCCCAAAGAGAAGTAATCAACTATTTTATTAAGGTGTTTACTATTAAAACAAAAAAAATCAGAGGAAATTGGTCTTTAATTGGATGCTTGCATTCTTTCCAGGGTTCTTGGTATGTTTAGATGTTGGTATCTTGACTTTGACACTTTCCTGATTGCCCTTGATAGCAGCCTCAAGGCGGGCTTTCAGGGCTGGAGAAGAAGCCATTACATTTTTAAAAACTGAAGAATACTGAGGCCCAATCTGCATGAGATGTTGCAAAGCAAAATCATGTAAACTTTTCATTATGGAAGTTGCTGATCCCAGAGTATTATCATCCAAAAGGAAGGAAATGAGGATGGGCAGAAGACAGGCCACCAGCTGAGAACCTGGCAAGTAAATAAATGATATAAGTTCTGGGTTGAAGTGTGTAAATGTTCGTTATACAAAGTTGTAAACTCACTTGATCTGTTGATCTGTACACGTTTTTCCCCACTGAAGGGGGAAGAAAAATCCTTCTAATCTCTCAAATTAACACTCAATAATATCAATACTGGGAATTAACCACTGACCTTTAATGTGGAAAAATAATGTTAAGTGACCAACGGAATGTTTTACATTTAAAATAACATTAAGTTTCTGATTTGGGACAGGTTTTTATTTAGTATGAATTTAGTGATGACACTTACGGTGCTGTTCTTCAGCAATGGCTACAAGTGCTTCCAAGACCTTTATGCCTTCTTGAAAGACCTGAAGCTCAGTAGTGTCTTCTGGCTTTCTCTGGTCTATTTCTTGCAATTTTTCCACAATCGAGGATACTAAAGAGTAAATATATGGGTAGGAAACAGCTGGATTTGGATATTGAAAAATAGAAAGTAGGAGCTGATAGGTCTTGATTTGTACCTAATCAGGGAAGAGACAAAAATAATATAAACTGTAAATATAAATTTACGTTTATATTAACATGCAGATTGTAATGTAATTTTTATAAAGAGAATTAAAAACTGTGAATTAAAAACTTTTTTAGATAAATCTCTTAAAAAAGGCATTTAAATTTCTTGTTAAGTTTATGTATTTATTTTGAGAGGCGAAAGAGCCCATGCAGATGAGTGGGGGAGAGGCAGAGAGAGAGGGAGAGAGAATCCCAAGCAGGCCCTGTGCTGTCAGTGCAGAGCCTGAGTCGAAATCAGGCACTCCCATTGAAATTTCTTTTTTTTTTTTAACTATTTTTTTAATGTTGGTTTATTTTTGAGAGAGAGAGTGTGAGTGGGGGAGGAGTAGAGCGAGAGGGAGACACAAAATCCAAAGCAGGCTCCAGGCTCTGAGCTGTCAGCACAGAGCCTGACACGGGGCTCGAACTCACAAACCGCGAGATGATGACCTGAGCCGAAGTTGGATGCTCACCGACTGAGCCACCCAGTTGCCCCAAAATTTATTTCTTAATTTATCTTTAATTTTGGAAGTCCAAGTGCTAACAGGTATTATAAGTGGGACAAGAGGCCCAAAACGGAGTCACCTGGGAGAAGTCCATGTCACCAAACCAAGACTCAGTACCTAACTTAATTACAGTTTCAACCTCTCCCAGTATTGGAATCTTAAACCAGTCAATCCATAATTACCTGGTCAGCACTAGTGAAGTAATCTGCCTGACAGACCCCGGATATCGCCCTCACCCAAGGAAGGTGGCTTTGCCTAAAACAATCCACTCTTTGCTATTAACTTCCTCATCCTTCCCCATTCTGTCTAGAAATCTTTGATTTTGTCCAGCTCTTCAAAGCTCTTTTCAATTTGGATTCATTTCATGAATCGTTGAATAAAGCCAGTAAGATCTTTAAAATTTACTCAACTGAGGGGCACCTGGGTGGCTCAGTTAACCATCCGACTTTGGCTTAGGTCATCATCTCACAGTTTGTGGGTTCGAGCCCCACACTGGGCTCTCTGTTCTCTGTGTGGTGCCCGCTTCACATCCTCTATCCCCCTCTTTTTCTGTACCTCCCCTGCTCATGCTCTCTCCCAAAAATAAACAAACATTTTAAAAAATTTACTTAGTTGAATTTTGTTTCTTGACAGATTTGGGGCAATGTGGTGCCAAGGAAACTTCTGAAGGTTTCAGGGACAAGGAGAAACAGAGGACTGGTGGTTCAGTCTGCAGTCACCATTTGTTGGGGTCTTCTGGTGCTCCTTCCCCAGCCCTCTTTTCCACACTGGGAATTGATGGTGATGCACGCAAGGGCTTCTACTGGCCAGTCCTCAGTAACATCAGTTTTGTTACTCCTGGTGTGTTAATGTGCACATGAAGTAAAGGCTACTGCAGATGGAAATCTAGGAAACCAAAAAACTGCAAAATTGGTAGGCACAGGTGGAGTACATAAAAGTTGTCAGAGTGTTTGCTACCTGACTCTAAGACTCCTGTGTAGGATAAACTGATCATGGAGTGGGTTAGACAGACACAGGTTACCCACCAACCTCAAGAAAATTTCTTTGCAGCAAAGTACACTGTAAAACACCACACAATCCCCAACTCAGCAGCACATCCTTCATAGGTATTAGTTTGGCTCCGAGAGACCCAAAGACTTCAAAGAAATGGGATCCTTAAATTCCAAAAAGTTAAGCACTGCACCTTCTGGCACACCTGCTTATGTCTAACAACTATTGTCTCTGTAGCCATAAAGACCTACAAAAATGGCAAAATCTTACTAAAGGTAACCTAGAATTACAATGGCCATTATGGAGAAAGTGCCAATTAGACAAGGTCATTTATGTAAGACATGCACTTAAAAGCAAGGGTTCCCAAATTCAAAAAGGATGGGATACCAATTTTAACTGTTAAGCAGAAGCTTCCAAAAGGCTTCAAGATTCCAAAACAGCTTCACTGAAAGTTTCATTGCAAAAAGCAAATAAAAAATTAAAGACACAAAAGATATGTAAAACAACACCTCCTGCACTGCCGCCCCCTGGGTGCCGGTCATCAAAACCCTGGCACAGAAATTGAGGTCTCGTTTCTAATTAATTAACTGCGATACTGGAAAAAAGATTGTTCTCAACAGTTTTGTGCAAATCCTTCAACACTAATTTGAATGTCCCCATATGGGCCCCATATGGGCCCCTCCCAGAGCTGGCGAGATTCTGAGGGAATTTCTGGGACACTGCTATGTTATTCTTTAAATAGACAAGGAAAATTGTCAAACAAAATTAAAATTGATGGAAACCTCACCACATCCTGGTAGATACTGGAGCTACACTGTCTAGGTAAATCCCATTCACGGCCTGCACATGGGATCCTGGCCAAACTGGTAGAAGCCAACTTAGGAGGATAATCCTTACCAGAATCCACTCTCCCAGATCTCTGTAGTAACCAGGAGAGAGAGGAATATAAAACATCTTTTGCACCCTCTTTGAGGATGCCTTTTGAATTCAAGGGGTTGTTCGATATGGCCAGGAATATTTACTATTTGTCCTAGCTAAAACCTTACATAGTATTTGAAATAACTTTTTAAAAAAGTAACTCTATGGTTAGAAGTTGGCCAAACCGGAAGCTGATTTTCAGAGCCTAATGAGAACATTTAAGGATTCCTTCCCTAAGCTAAAATGAAACTATGTGCCCACTAAAACATTCCAAAAACACACAACTCTAAATCTAAAACACAGGCATCTTTTGATTTCCATCTCATTGGAATATCTTCCAGATATAAGAAAGCAAACTGAAGATAATGTGGTTGGACAGGTGGGTCAAGCTATGAAGTCTTTTAAGTTGCAAATCAATTCTTTGAGGAATTAAAAGCAACCATCCTTACTTTACAAACCTTTGCAAAACTAGAAATGAGGCTCCAGAAACAATTCAAAATCTACCCATCCTTTTTATCAATCTAAAAACCTTCCCTTTTATAAGTATTGTAAAAATTCAGGCCAAAGGGAACAAAAGTCCTTTCTGGAAGAACTTGCATTCTTTGCAGTACCTTTGAGATGTAAATAGTTTACCAGGTATTCTTTGGGAACTGTTACCTAGACCATCCCCAATTCCTAGGACTGAAGGAATAAAAAGGGAGAAAGGCTTTTAAAAAATATAAACTGCTATATAATGGAATATTAGCCATCAAAAAATGAAATATTGCTATCTGCAATGATGTGATGGAGCTAGAGAGTATTACGCTGAGCAAAACAAGTTAGAGAAAGACAAATATCATATGATTTCACTCATGT